CACCACAGGCTGCAGGGGAATCTCTGCTCTGGTGCCTGGAACACCCCCTCCCCCTCTTCTTTCACTGACCTTTGTGTCTGCAGAGTTGTTCCTCTCACATATTCTTTCTTCTCTACAGCTGCTGCTGGTGTTCTGCAGAACTTTTTTCCTTTCTTACGTACATCATCCCAGAGCTGCTACCATCACTGATGGGCTCAGTCCTGGCCAGTGGTCGATCCATCTTGAAGCTGCCTGGCACTGGCTCCATCAGACATGGAGGAAGCTTCTGGCTTCTCACAGAAGTCCCCCTGCTACCAAAGCCTTGCCACACAAACCCAACACAATCACACGTGCATGGTGCCTCCTCCAACCTCCCTGCTGAGGAGCATTGTCAGCTGCAGGATCTGTCATCCCTTGCACTGGGGCTGTGCTTTGAGCCCTTCCTTCCACCAGCAGCACCTGTCTGGGGAGCAGTGGCCATAAGACCCAGCTGGAGATGTGTCGGGAGCAGAGTGGCCATAACCTTCAGCTTCCAAAGTCCCACGGAGATTCTGTGCAGGCTGGGCTGCCGGGCTGTCCTGGGCCACATCTGTCATGCCTGGCCAGCTTGGCTCATGCTGGGAGGCCAGGCTGCCTTTGTCCTGGCTGACACACTGGGCTTGGGAGAATGAGGCATTGTGTGGGAGCAGGCCCACGTGTCAGCCCCATTAGGGTACCTATGGGGCTCCTGTAGCACGACAATGCCCTTGGTGGGTCTATTATAGAGTGGTTCAGGCAGCTGGGGGCACTGGGATCATAGTAAATCTTGCCTGGTTAGCAGCAGCAGCAGGCCAGGCTGGGATGTGCTCTTTCCTGTGTCATTCTAGGCACAAGGCCGCCCTCACAAACAGCAAGAGCATCACGCTGTGAATGTGGCCAGCATTGCCTTGCAAACTGCCAGCGCTGCCCTGTGAGCATAGCCAGCATCACCTGCTAGTCACTGCCAGTGTTGCCCTGTGAACACCACCAGCATCACCCTGCAAACACGGCCAGCACTGCTCTGTGAAGGTGGCTCCCCTGGCTGCAGGACCTGGGCAGCTCTACTGCCTGGCCACTTCACCACTGGGACCAAGTGAAAGGAACAGCATCCACTGACTGAGATGATGCAGGAGGTGCCAGGACTCCCAAGCAGGAGGATTTGGCTCCAGCCCAACACAACAGGGACCATCCAGTTAGGGGGAACCCAGTCTGTCTCACTGCCTTGAACAATTGTGGAACAGCAGGAGGAGGACAGTCTGGAAGGCACTGCACCCCTGCTTTGTGGTGTGGCTGAGCAAAGGGGCTGAGCCCTGCAGCCTGGCTTCCCAAAACCAGCTATAGCCTGCAAGGAGAACATTTGCACCTAGCAGCCCGGATGCAGATGAGGAGATGCTGTTCCCAGCACGGCTGGACACACCGACCGCCTGGGAGCTCTGCAGAGCTGGTTTGAATAAGCCACACGCCAGGAGGTGTCTGTGAAGCGCCTTGCACATGGAAATGCTATTGTTGGATTGGGGGCTCCAGGGTCCCCAGATGTAGCAATTGTTCCACATCCATGCTGTGCATACACACACACTCTTTCCCACTCACTCTGCCTGCAGCCACTCATTAACCCTCCTCAATGAAGATGCATTGGAGGGATAATTTACTGTTTAATAGACTAACTTTCCATTTGCTGTTGCCAAGCACATCCAACATATTTCTCCACGGTGCCATAAACTGCAGCTCCTCTGCCATAAAACCCTGCCTCCCAGAAAGAGCAGGTGGGTTTCCAGGACTCAGCTGATGACCTTGGCCACAGGGTAAGAAGAGACAGTGTTCTGTTGTTAGAGGAACAGGGCTTGTTCCCACCAAGCCCTTTCACCCTCATTGCACTGACATCCCTGGACTGGGAAAACATTTGAGAAATAAGGAGTGGCTCAGTGCCTCAGCCTGATGGATGAGGGAGGCAGAGCCTCTGTCCTGGTTTTGTTGATGAAGATGCCCTGGGTGCAGACGAGCATGCCTCTGCTCCATATTTATGGCTAGCTGGCAGCCGGTGCCATGCTGGGCTGTGATCAATAAGCTCCATGCCCGCTTGGGCTCATTGTGTTTCCACAGCTGCAGATGGCCTTTCTGTGCCTTGTCAGTCCCAAAGTTGTCAGCATGTGTCTCTGCATCCTGGCTCCTCCTTCCCCAGCCCTTACAGAGTCAGAAGCTACTGGAGGATGAAAGAAAGTCAGATGCTGCTCAACCTGGGACAAGGGAACTCCTTCCATCTCCCATCACCCAAATTTCCACATGGTAGAAGACAAACTTTCAGGCTGCAGGTTCTGCAGGAAGGGGCACCAGCCCCAGGGCATGAGTCTGAATGACTGGCTACCAGGGTCTGGCTCTGAAGAATGGCAAGAGAATGCCAGTAGCCAAAAATAACTTGAAAAAGAGAGGGAAAGGGTTCAGCTTGCCTTGTGACAGCTCTGCTTGGCCCTGGATGCAGGCAGGGACTCTCCTTAGAGTTGGAGGACCATGCTAGGGGCTAGCTGCAGAGCTGATTTTCGATTTTGAGGACATCCTTCCCCAGCCTTCTCAGTGCTCTTTATGCTTTTGTTCACTTTATTTATAGTCCCAGCTTCCCTCCTCCTCCATCTGCCAGATGTAGCCAGGAAGAAGCAGGCGTCTCCAAGCCTGCCCCCAGCACATCTGGCGCGGGCCCCAGGGCTGCGGGGCGGGCAGCGGGTCCCGTCCCGCAGGGTGTGCTGCCAGCCCCCTCTTGTGCTGCCGCTGCAGAACGGCCTGGGAGAGCCACAACGGAGCCAGAGGCTTTTGTGCCAGAGGTTGCCGAGATCCTGCTCCACAGCGAAGCAAGGCTCAAGCTTTGTAAGCAAAAAGGTTGGAAGAAACAAACTCTAAAAGAACCACAGGTCAAGACAGACACCCCCACATCATGGACCTGTGCACACATCAAGTTCCATGCAGCCATGATGGCCAAGGCAGGTTGGCACCTCTGTTCATCACAATTCCCAGTGGCACAGGAGCTTCAGCCAAAACCAGAGCATCAAGTGGAACGCAATTCTCTCCAGTGGAAAAGGAGACAATCTCAATATCATGTAAGGCACTGCATGGGAGGGCTGGGTGGTGGATTTGTAAATCTTCTCCAGCAGCAAGGCAGGGGGGCTGGTTTAGCTTGGGAGAGGGAAGGGGCCCACAGAAATGACCTCTCCAGCTGTGACTCAGCAGAGAAAGGAAAGCTTGTCTCCCTCTCACCCAGACTAAAATTGAAGGCTGGTGCTGGGAAGTATCTGAACCTCACCCTGTGATGCTTGGCTGGGAACAGCAGCTGCTTGCACAGGAGCCCCAAAACAACCCCATCACATTCCTCATGCGTGGGCACTCCCCAGGAACAAAGCTGGGCTGCAACAGGATGGGGCCAGAGAGGTGGTGCCAGCTGAGATCCCACTCCAGGCCACAGCACAAGTGTAAGGTCAGTGTAGGGCCCAGCACGGAGATCTTGGCATCTGCATGCCCGAGCAGTTTATGAGCTTCAACACAAAACCCTCACTGGGGAGATGAGCAAACAGAACTAAACATGGTAATTTATTCAGTCCATGAAAAAATATTAGTTAATCCAAGCCAATGAGATTGTAAAGCCTGATAACTGGTCTGGCTGATGCCAATATCTATTGCTAGCAACAGTCATGTTTTTTGTCTACACTGTTGCCCTAGGCAGTGAGATGCAGCAGCAACATGACAGCTCCCAGCCACACATGATAATTTAAGAGAGAGAAAATATCTTATTTCAACTCCAAACCAGGGCAGATCAGTTAAAAAAAAATCAAGACAACTTGCAAAAATTGATTTAGATAGCAGTGACACCCTGAAGAACTTATTTGCAAGTCTGTGCTGTGCAATTTGAGATAAAAACTGTTTAATGAAATGAAGGTGAGCACTGCTTGTTTGCTTTGCAACACCACTGCTGTGCAAACATACCAACAGGCCAAGGCAAACATACTGAGAGATGAGTGATCCCCCTTTAAATATATACCTTCACCCAGGGTCCCAGTGGCTACTGCCCTTTCACTTAAAGTCAAGCATAAGTGCTTGGATTGTGGCTTCAGAAGCCAAAACCTACTTATTTTTTAAAATTATATAAGGCAGATAAAGCTGTCACTTTGAATCACAGCTCATCAGGGGGGCGATATTTGGATTTTCACTATTGAAGATAGCTGTTGTGAGTTTTTGCATTCCTTTGTTCAACGCGTTCAAGAAGAGAAATGTCTCTCTCGACTCCCATGCCCACTTTGAAGTGCACAGAGGCCCATCACCCCCGCTCCCTGAGCTCCAGGGAGATGGGGCTCACCATTCCCATGACACCCAAGTGCAGGCACGGAGGACAAGGGGGCTCTCTTGGGGCTCAGCCCGCAGGAAGGCAGCGCCGCTTTCAAACACGCTCCTTCTCCTGCTTGTTTTTCAATTGCATGGTGAGGATGTTAATGAGTGTCTGAGCTATGGCAGGCAAGCCCAGGGCATTTCAAACGTGGAAGAACTTCACAGAGAAATAATCTGCATAAAATCTGAGACGCCATTATTAAGAAGGAGGAAAAGAAAATGCAAGCAGAAAGCATCCTCTCTCAGCAGCCAAGAGTGGCAAGAGAAGAATGGCCCTACAGAGAAAAATTTATTCATTTGATCCATTATTTATATAAAGTGTTCTTTGTAAACCTGATTTCCCATCACCCTGGATGACAGCAGGGGGAAGACAGGAAAAGAAGAGGTCCAACTTTATATTTCCAAGGGAAAGACAGCCTGTCTGGGCACCCTGTATCATGCAAGTATCCCAGAGGCTTTTGAGCCCTCGTGCCATGGGAGGCCAGTGCCATCCCTGCAGGTGGGCAGCACCTCACCAAGCACCTCCACACTTAAGAGTAGTAGCTCTGGGCTTCTAAGTAGACATTTCCTTCTTTTTGAAGGTGGATGGGAGCCCTTGTTGTCCCAATGAAATTGCTTAAGCCAACAAGCAAACCCACTAAAAATAAAAGCATTTAATGTGGTGTTTTCACATAACACACAGAAAGGCAACAGTCTGCAACAGTACTGACACAGCGTATATAAATAAGAACAAAGATTAAAAATACTTGGAAATGATAGACTCTGGGAACAGTTAGCGGCTGCTCTGGGAAGAAGCATCCTTATGAGTCATTGCACAGGGCAGACAAACGAGACACATCCAAGCATAACTAAAACTCTCCCGTGCCGGGGAGACAGCGTGAATGCATCGGGACAGCAACAGCCAAGGTCCTAGGGGAGCAATCAGCCACACCATCCCGAGCACCACAGACTGGAGCCCCTCCAGGACTGGAGACAGCACCCATCCCCTTGGCAGGTAAGGCATGTGACACATGCAGAAGGCCTGGCCAGTGCCCCATAGGTAACTTCTTAGAGTTGAACAAATCTCAGCTGTGCCAGAAGCCAGAGCCCCTGAGCTAGAGCCATCAGTAAGGGGGGACAGTGGAGAGTTACCTTTGTCTCATCTATATGGGAGCAGTGTATTTAATGTCAGGTACAAGACTGCCTTGGCAAGCAGTCACCCATACAGAGAGGTATGAGATATGCCAGGTAGGGACAATGGGGAGAGGAGGAGTGAACAAATGGTTCATGCAGCAATTACCCCAATGCAAGTAAGAGCAGAGATAGCAGAAGCAGACCCAGCTCTCCCTGTGCTGTCACTTGACCTTTGTCTGTGCCTCATCTCTGCTCAGAGGCAAAGCTGAGATTCCCAAGTCTCTGCTAACAGCAGGCTGCAGGGACAGGGCAGAAATGCAGTCAGAAAAACAGGGGCTCCTTTGGAGAAATGCACACAGACAGCTTTAGCCTCTGGAGGGAATGATTACAGACACATCCAAAAAGCACATACAACTACCACAACAAACAGCCTCTGCCCTTCCTCACAGCATCACCATCAGTCTGGTCCCTGAAGAACCACAGCTCGCTCTTTGCTGTGACAGAGGCTCCTGACACCAGCAACTCCCAACTCACACATCTACAGTCCCCCTACCCCTATATTTTCAAGGCTCCAACTGGGGTCAGACTGAAGACAAGCATCCCTGATAAAGTACCAAAAACCACCCTTTGTACCGAGCAGCATGAGGATTTGTGTCTTAAAAAAAAAAAAAAATCACAATTAAAAAAAGTGACAAATTCCAGCTAAGTTGCACAGGCTCCAATGCCCGTTCTGACAGCTCCAGCCAATCAGACTGAACTCCCTGTTCATATCCCAATATTCACACCTCCTGCCACCAGTTGTTTCAGAAAGCTGTCAAGAGCAGAGCTCTAACTCCTGCTGGCTGCTGGTTCTTAAAGATTAGAAGACAAATATAATTGGATTCCAGAGATTATTTACTTTGCTGAGAAGGGCTGAGAAGTGTTTAGATGGTCCCCCAGCTGATTAAATCTTTATTTCACAGTAGCAACCCTGTGTGTATCCTACCTCAGAGTGCTTGCAGACAGGTTCTTGGCAAGACTGGCTTACTGGAGCACTTTGGCTTAAGGAGACTGCTGACATTGGCCAGCTGTGATTGGGGTTTATCCTGTATCTAGAAGGTTTCATCTCATTTCTGCAGCTCAGACCAAAGAGCTGAACCCAGCTTCAGCCCTTTCCCCCAGTTTAATGACTAATCAGCCAGTTGCCCTACCAGCCATCCACATATCTTGAGCCAAAGCCTTTGGCACCATTTGCAGCAGATCACAAATGGATGGAGCCCTCTCTCACCTCGTTTTCCTCTTTCACACAGAGCCACAAGACTCTGCCTGCCCCAGGCACCTTAACTTCCAAAGATTAGGCTGTTCTGCCCCAGACAGCCTTTGCCAGCCTCCTCCTCTCCTCAGCTTAAACCTCCCTGGGTGAACACAAAGCCAAGACACTCCTTGTTCAGAACTGTACCACTGAAACACGAAGGCACTGAGCAAGGGCTGCCTCCAGCTCAAGGTAAAATAGAGGGATGAGTTTATTGGGGAAGCTGCTTTTCCCTGGTCCTACTTGAAAAGATGGCACCCAGAGCCTCTCCTTCCAGGCTCATCCCATGCCCTTTACCGTTTGTGCACTTCAGGCCTTTGGAAACAGCAGAGCAAAATGGAACCAAGAAGAAGCAGAGAAGGGCATGCCTCCAGAGCAAGACTGGAGGCAAGCTTGGATGTCAGGATGTGGGTAGGGGTTACAACCCATCATTCTCACTGCTAACAGGGGAAGGAAGCAAAAACAAGCCAATGTGTTAAAAACTTGGAGCAGAAAAGCAAAAAAATACAGCCTAGCAACATTACAAGAAAGCTGGGAGTGCACACAGGGCCCTGCAATGAACAGGGCTCTCCTTGCAAGCAAGCACTCCAGCTCTTCCCAGAGCCAGCAGGTCAGACATGCTGCACAAGTTTTGGTTAGATAGTGGTTTGCCCCATAGTAGAATGAAATACAATTTATATACAGAAACAAATCCCTGCAATCCTTGCAAAGGTCCAGTTTCAGGAGCGCTGCTGTGTTGGTGAGGGTTGCTGTGAGCCTGCAGCACTCCCCTCTCAGTGCAGCACATTTTCTCTTCACAGCTTGCGGGGCTGGGCAATCCCCACCCATGGGCTGAGGCGATTCAGAGGGATGATGAATCCTTGGAAAGCAGGCGGGCTCGCATGCGTCTGCAGGATCCCTGTAGCAGAGAATGGGTGCAGTTGAATGCTTGAGACACAGAATACCATGCAAAAAAAGGCTGACATTCTCCCCCTGCAAGGACTCTTCCTGGTGTCAGGCTCCCACGCCTTTTGCTAAAGCTCGAGATGAGGCAGTGAGCAGAGAGGAACAAACACAGCAGTCGGTCTCGGGCTGCACCAACCTCCTGTCCCACTGCCACCCTGACAGGCTGTTAGCACTACCCTGTGCTGCCAGCTTCCCTCTGCTGCCTGCAACATCCAGCCTGCCAACTCACAGCCAGAAGGGCTGTAAGACCCTTCAGGGCCTGGCTTCCAGCACGTCACCTGCCTGCAGCTCGGCACGGAGCAGACGGCTACGAGCTGGGCCACCACAGCTGTCCCAGAGCCTTGAGTGTGTGCTGTCACCTCAGCAGGTTTCAGCACACCAGGTTCCCTGCAGGAAGAGGAACGGGGGGGTAAGGGGAACTGTCTCACCTCTTTCTGGCCTTCCAAAGACTTGAGCTTCGCCTGGGACATATGAGCTGGAGAGCCACATTTCTGTAACTGGACAAGAGAGGGCCATAGGAGTAGAAAGCTGGTGAATGAACTGGCACCCACAGCTTTCCCTGGGAGCAGCCTGTACCACCAAAGACCATCTATCACCCAAATCCACTCTTGGTTTGTCTGGGAAAACCCTACTGGATACAGGCAGCAGGCTTTGTACAATCTGTGGAGGAGGATGAGAGAGAGGGAAGGGAGCACAAGAGAATGCCCCAGAGCAGGACACAGCCAGAAAGACAAGACTGGAGTAGAGGCCCAGCGCTGTCATCCCTGCTCTGATGCTGCCCTTGCCATCTGCTCTGTTCTCCTCAGAGCAGCTCCTCAGGACCTTGTTTTATCATAGAGAAGAAACTTGGAACTCCTCTCGTGAGCAGAGAACAGCTCCCCAGGGATTGCTGAGGTTGCACTCAAACTCCCCACACACTTTCCCACCAGCAGCTTCAGTGGTGCTGGGAGCAGCTCTTACCAGTTGGACGTTCTCTTTGCTGACCCGCACAGGCTCTGGTGTGGAATCCCTGCTCTTCCTCTCCAGGATAACTGGAGTTCCCAAAACTTTCCGCTGTTGTAAGAAGAAAGGGCTGTTGGCTAGTGCTTAGAGTGCAAAGTAAAAAAGAAAGGGAAGGAGCAGGATGCCTTGCTGGTAAGCAGTTGAATGCTGGGAAAGAAAAAAAGGAAGCCAAGCTGGGACAAAGATTGCAAAGCAGAACCACCTGAAACACCACACCACTAGGCTGAGCCCGCCTGGTTGTAAAGAGTTTAGGAGCTGACCTGAGGCCTGGCCAGGGGCCAGCCTGTCAGAAGCAGGCACATGCTGGTGTAGGGCAGCCCATAATGTGCTAAAACTCATGCTAACATGCTAGACTTCATGACAGCTCCCTGTCAATCCTCATCTCATCTCAGGAAGCAATCAATTCTCCAGAAAGATGCATAGATCCTACAGCCATGTGTTTCAAGATAATTACACTTTACACTAACAAGGCTTTTTGTCACTCTGCTGCCTCTTCTGCCCCAGTGGATCTGTGTTGTTTGGCAGGCAATACTTTGAGGAGTCCCTACCCTTTGAGGCTTTCATTTGAGGCAGGGCAAGGCAGAAGCAAAAAGCAACATCAGAAATTCACAGCAGAGAGCAAGGGTCAGAGGCTGCTTTCACCTTAATGAGGCCGCTGAAGGAGCGCGAGCGGGTGCGTCGTGGTGCTGGGGATGTGGGCACGTCAGAGCCAGGAGTCAGAGCTGTTGGATGCTTATTAAACTAGGAGGAAACATGAGGGCAGTACGTTAGCACAGTTATACCCGTCCCTTACTGCTGCGTGCTGCTCTACCTGCTGTCCCAGAACTCAGTGTCTCTCTTTCACCCCCTGGAATGGAGGAGCAGCTCAGAACTGCAGGAGGAAAAAAGCAGAGGAAGGCCACACCTTCCACCCAGGATTACAGGGAGTTTGGGTGCAAAGGTGCTTTGTGCTGGCTACCAGATTAACCAAAAGTGGCAGATGTTGGGAGCAGAAAGAAGGCTGGGCAGCAGCTGGGGGCTGGCAGCCACGACTGGTGCTGACCATATTGACCACCAGTCTGTCTGGTGCAGCAAGTTGTCTGAGACCAAGAGGAGACCAGTTTGTCCACTCTGCAGGCAAGAGGGGAAGAAACTTTTCCCTTCCTGAGGGAGGAAGCTCAACAAGGCCATGATCAGGACTGGGAAACTGTTGGCTAGCAAGTCCTTAGCTTGAAAAACAGAGTTTAAAAGTGCTGCTTGGTACAGCAACATCCAGGACACCTCCTCCTCCTCCTGTCTTTCTTACAGCTCTGCCCCTTACACAGCCCAGAACCCACTATCCCCAGCCTGCCCAGGATTAGGAGCAGCTCTCAAGAAGGCCGTGTCTTTAGCCCTGTGCCCAGGATTGTGTTGACAAGCACACCCCAAGATATCTTTCCTCCCCACACTACCTGCCGGATAAGCTTCTTCTTCTTTGCAGAGTCAGGCATGTTGTGGACGTGGAGGAAGAGCTCCTTCAGTGCCTCCTCCGTGCGCTGCTGGGTCTCCTCCTGATGGCAAGAGTCCAGCCGGCTTCGCTTCTGAGACTTGAGGGGCTGCAGCTCCTTGGAGCCAGAAGACGTCAGCAAATCCAGGTCGTCCTGGGAAAGCGGAGACAGGAGTCGCTTGCCATGCTTTAATCCCAACGAGCCACCCATCTGAGCCAGCCTAGGAGAGTCTCGTGAGCTGCCTCAACCCCAGTGAAAGCACAGGACTGTGTTTTCCCTACCCCTCTGCAGCAGCACTGCATCAGCAGGCCCCGTGCCAGGAAGAGGTGACAGCAATACAAAGGTGACCCCATTGCTTCTTCCCTCCCCTCCCAGATGCAAGCTGCAGAAGCCCTTCCAGGCTTGAGAAGGGTCAGTGCAGCTCCTTGCCACACATCTTCCCTCTTCTGCAGCTATATGAGGCAGGGAAGCATTTGCTGGCAAGACACAAATGTTGTCCCAGTGGCAGCAAGTAGTCTTTATCTCAGCACTTCTGCCAAGCATCCTGGCCATGGCAGCAGGCATGTCCGTCTGTTTGGAAGGCACAGCCCTGTGAAGGAGCAGGTGCTGCATGTACTGGGCACAGGGAGCAGGTTTGCTGCTAAACAGGGGCTCGTAGCTTTCTTTCCCTGTGCTTTTGATTAACAGATGCTTCAACTCTGTCCAATTTCCCTAATGCAGCCGCCTGCACTACCACACCATATGCTTCTCTTGCTCCTGCCCTCTGACAGATCCTCTTTCATGACTTGGTTTGTTTTCAGCTTCTGTCACTCACAAAGATCCCATCACAGCCTCTGCCCTTTCACGGAGGGCAGGTGCTGCACTTGCTGGCCTTACCTTTGATGTGTGGGCTCTGGATCCCAGATAGTGTAGCCTGGCACACTCCCGGATGTACACCGGAGCCTGTGATGATGAGCATAGAACCAAAGGCATGTTTAACATCTTTGGTCTTGGGGCAACAGTGGCTCCAGCAAGAGTTGCTTTTCAACCATACGACACAAGCCACTTGTATCAAGACTCAGCCATTCTGGGCAAACAAAGCCATGGAATTTCATGTCCCCTCCCTGTTCATAGCATCCTTTACATGCAGACATTCAGCACAAGTAGAACTCAGAGTAGGGAAAAGTTCCTGTGGAACCCTGCTCTAATTGCCCCAGTTCTGAGTTAGCTAAACTGGAGCCAGACAAAGAAGGTAGAAGGGGAACTCTCCAGGGGAGGACTGTGCAGTGAGCAGATGCCTCCAGTAACCAGGAAGGCCCTGAGAAGTCGAGACTGTCTGTTGTAGAAATGTTTCCTTGGAGGAACAGTTGAAAGTCCCACACTCCTGACTGTCCTACCCAGCACCCTCCTCAGAGCTGGACAGTGCCTGTAGCAGCAATGGGCTAATGACCATTTGCAGAGAAACTCCCAACAAAACAACCCTCTGCATCAGGTATTCTGCTCTTGGCAGCACTCAGGCAGGACAAATCCCTTCCATTTCCTTATCCTGCCAGAACCTGAGTGCAGCCCGGTGTGCACCTGCCCTCGGAGCCAGGTTCCTGCCGGGCAGCAGGTGCTGCTGTCCAGCAGAGGGGAGTGTTACACTGCACCGTGCTGCTGACCTGCCCTGGCAAAGCCACCTCCAGGGCTGCCTGCCCAGCAAAGACCTCCTCCCTAGTCACTATTGGAACAGTTTCTTGTAGAAAATCTCCTCTAACCGCAGAAAAGAGCCCACAGAATATACACTCAACATGTGGGATCTGTCTGGACAAGGGGCATTCAGTCTCCTGGTGATGGAGGCAGGAGAGCAGGACGCCAAAGCACACTCACCTTGAAGAGTTTCTGAGAATGTTTGATCATGAAGGTCACTCCATTGTTTAGCTTTGTGATATTTTCCTGAAGGTCATTTGCTGTCACCTGGCAAGGGGACACAGCCATCCATTAGAAGGGGAGGAGGAGGGGTCTCTTCTGGGACACAGACACACACAGTGCCACAGCAGGAGATCTGCTCTGAGATGACAGGCAGGCAGGGCTTATAGCAACCAACTGCAGAGCTCACAGAGCCAAAGCTGCTCTGAGAGGAGAATCAGATAACTCTGTGGCAAAACAGTTCACCAGCAGCATAAGAAACTTTGAAGAGAGATCTGCAAGGTTTTTCTGGACCTGACATTCTAAGAAGAAGCATGACTGTGCTGTGCTTTCAATTTTACTGAAAAAGAAGATGCATAAGCTGCAAATGAGACCCATGGCAGGTCTGGGCTGAACACTGGGACTGAGTCCTGCCAGGAAGCTCCCACCTCTCACATCATTGTGTCAGTACTCAACCTTCTCAAACCTTTGTTTTTCCCCTACCAAGCCTTTGCTTTTTACCTTCCAATATCCCACCCGACACTGAGGCATTGCTCACATTTCTGGGCCATAGGATGTGGGGTGCAAACATGAGGGCAAGGTTGTGGGCAGACATCTTGTTCTTGTCCTGCTTCTTGGCCGTCTGGTAGAGCAAGTCCAGCAGCAGTTTGAGCAGACTGCGGTTGGGAGCGGGAAGGATCAAAAACAGCAGCTGGAGGGCTTCAATTTGGCGCTCTTTGTCTGGAGTGCTGGTCTTATTCCCCTTCTCATCAAACAGCATCAAGTCTGCCAAATCACAAGGCAGAACATGAAGGACACATTACCTTCCCTCAGAGCAGTCTGTTGCAATTACTTATCCTTTCCTCTTCATATGCAGATCTCCTACAAACCCCTGCACAGTTCTTGGCCCTCCATCCCTCTTCCCCTCAGCTCCCAAGCTCCCCACTTGATGTGTTAATCTATGCCACTCCTCCCACAGAACAACAGAGCTGCTAAGAGCTGTGATGGCTTGAGGCAAGACGAAGTTCACATAAGGTAGTTCAATAACAGTTACTAAATACATAGAAACCACAACTTGCTCAGAACCCTGGACATAAAACAGATGGAGACCCAGGTTATCACTGTGGGCTTTACCACTGTGGTATCTGAGAGAAGAATGGTCTAGACAGACTTGGGCTGATTTGTTAATCAGCTCCAGTCTTTCCACCACCAGGCTGAGGTGGCAGGAATATTCCTTCTAAGGCTGCCTTTGAGGAATACACTTCACAGCCCAGCACGCTTTCTAGGCCAGTTCCAGTCCTTCTGCCCATCACTGCCTCTTGCTGCCCACTCACCTGCAATTTTGAGGTGGGCATGGAAGTGCTTGTGCGTCAGCAGCGGCTCCGGTAATTCACCCAGGAACATCTTAAGTAGAGTGGCCACATCATTGGAATGAAACTCCCCAGAGTCCAGGTCAATATCAGTACCACTGTTCAGAGCATCCTTTAGGATCTGTTGCCTGATGCTGTTGCCTGGCACTCGAAACAAGCCTTCTGCTCTTAGATCTGCTCAGCAGAGGGGAGAAAAAAGGGCACTGAAAAATCAGAGGCTGATTTCCCACCTTCTTACTAAAGCAGTTCCCTCCTCTTTCCAGAGCTTGACAGGAAACCACAGTGAACTGTATTCAGAGACATGACTTTAAGCTGTCTCCCATCAGTACAGAAAGTCCTTGTACAGAGGGAAATAGATCCACATATCTGCTAGGCAATTCTGGGGAACAGTTGCCCAGTGCAGTCCCAAACTCCTACTGCTGGAGGGCTCAGAGCTTGTCACTCTGTATGCACCAGAGACCTGAGGTGGGCCAGACAGATACCATTGGGATAGGAAGACAGCAAACAGAGCCACTTACTTTTGTGCAGATACTCGATCAGCTGGGAAACCTGTGCAATGCCTTCTTCTGTCAGTGGTGAGCCAAACACCACCCCCTTCTCTGCAGAACAGAAGACAACATGTTTAGGCAGCTCAGAACCCAGCAGCCACAGAAATTAATACTCCCCAAAGAACAGGATTTCAACATGCAGTGCCCCAAAACGTTAAGGGTGAAGGTCACAAGGACCCTCACAGATGTGAGATATACAAACTCTCCAAAATAAGTCACTTCATCTCACTATGCTGTACTCACATGGGCTTCATCATCCTTGCTTCTTACCTCACTTTCATTACAGCTTTTATCAGCTAAAGCAAACATTCTCTAGCCCTTGAAGAAAAAACAACACCAGAACAGATGCTTCAGTGTAAAAGGGCACAGAATCTACAAGCCCAGACGTTATGAAAAGAGCAAAATGGGAAAGGCAGATGTAAGAGCCTGGACAGCCCTGGTGCTTGCCACACTGGCACACTCCAGACCATGAAAGAAAAGTCCAGATCAGTCCTCACTGTGGCTTGACACGAAGTGGAGAAGAAAGAAGAGTTGCGGCTATGAGTTTATGGGAGAGGCAAATAAGCACTGCTGGGGAGAGCAGACATATTCTGACTGGCTCACACTAGCTTCCTTTTCAGGCATGGGTAAAACATGGAATTTCCTCATCCCAGTGAATCTTTCTTCTATGTCAGCTGCCCTGGTCTGAGTAAAGTATGAAAGCTGAACAAGGCAGAAGGAGAGTAGCAAAGCAGTAAGCTGGGCTCCTCTCTTGAAGTCTGTTCCCATCTCATGGGACTGAGATTGGGCATGAGCTGCAGCTCCAGAACTCCAGTAAATAACACAGGTTATAGTCCCAGAAGATGGAAGCAACTGAGCTGAAAGGAAGGGGATTCCTGCAGGGAAGGAAACATTAGAGGAGAAATCCATTTAACTGAAGGGCATTTGTTGAACCAATGTAGAATACAATACTCTTCTTGTCCACAAAGCAACTTCCCAGGTGAGACTGATTATCAGTGGTAACAGAAGGACAGTGTTTTCTAATAAATGCAGCCTTGCTACTGAACGGATTTTTCTGTCAAACACACACAGTATGATCTGTTCCTCAGAAAGTGGAGACAACTCCCAGAGACTTCAGTGGCAGCAACCAGAACTCTGGGCACCACACTTCTTCCCTCAGATGCATATAGGTTTGGACTGGAGACAAGATACTGGAGAGACTGTACCACAACATGCTGACTGGGACTGAGAACTGGAACCAGGTACAGAGCTGGTTTGTCCTGCCCTGGTACTTAGGCTTCAAAGAGACAACAGATATAAGAAAAGAATATTCCTCCCTTCTCCATGGCCAGACTGCCAGGAACATGGGTCACTTCTGAGGGCAGGCTGGACATTTGCACCATTTGCACTGGAGGTTTCCCTTCTTACTGCTACAGCTGATAGCCCAGTAATCCAAGCAATGCATTGGCTGGTCTGATAAAAGTTATCTCCTCCACAAGCTTTCTCTTGCTTTTTTTCCCCCCCTCATATCTCATTTTTATTTTACTTGCTTTTGGTCCCTTGTACTACAGATCTCACTGCTCTGTGGTGTTGATGCTCACAGCATCAGCAACAGTGAGAGAGATCTGGTTAACCCTATGCACTTCTCTAGCAGCCATTCTGTGTAACTAAATTTATTCCGCCTGAAGAATGTTCTGCTTTCTTCCAGGACTTCTGAAATACAAGGTAAGCCACCAGGAACTCCAGCCTCCTGTTAAATCAAGAACTTTCTGACCTCACTCTGATAAAGCACATGCTTCAGTCTTGCAAGAGAAAGGAGGGCAACGTGAGCTCTTGATCCACACGAAAGATCTGAAAGGTTTGAGTGCAAAGGGAGAGAATGATCGGCAAAAGATTCTTGTCCTTGAAGAAAACTAAACTCATTAGGCATTCAACAGATAGAATCGACAGTGGCCAGGAATAGAAGAGGAAAATACATCTTCTTGAGACATGCAGGGCCTGACAAATTCGATTTAGTTTTGAAGTCAGAAGCTGGTATCTGAATGAGAATTTGATTCCCAAAGAAACTTGAAAGTCGTGTCTGGAGAATGGATGCTGCACTACAAAGGCTTAGATGTTATTGTACAATTGCTTCTGAAACTAAGCAGCAGCATGAGACTGACTTTCCTGATGCTCAAAGAAATTGTAAGTATTTGCAGTTTGATCGGCTCTGAGCTCCATGGTCCTTGGCCTCTGGCTTTGAAGAAATAAAACTTGTTTGTTGTAGCTGGTCTATAACATGAAGAAAAACAAATGATGGCTCCAAGATGAAACACACAGTACATGAAACTGATTCTCTCTGTAGGCACAAACCTCTTTTTCTGAGAGTTTGGCCAAGGAGTTCACAGACAGTGCCTGTCAATGCTGGGAGACACTGCTGCTGCAGCCTGGGAGTGCAGCCAGCAGACTTGGAAACATCTGCTAGCTGTAGTGACACACAGCCATGGAGACCTGTGAATGGGGGAAAGCAGAGCTCTTGGGGAAGAGTTAGCAGGAGGCATCAGGTCTGATAAGAGCAGTGTTCCCAACAGAGTATAGATAATTTAATAAAAAAAAAAAATGAGCTGGAGAAGGCTCACCAGTCCCTGGTGGAAAGTTTTGACAAGAACATGGGGGTTTCCATACACATTAAGAAAACACTGGTGCTTGAATTTAAGGTATCCTGCTACTCTCTGTGAAGAGGGAGAAGCAATACCAGGCATGAGCACAGTCTAACTGCAGTTTAGGGGCAGCACAAAGACCTGTTATTATGGAGCAGCAAAGTCAGTCGTGGCAATATAAAATAATTCTCATCTAAGGATGCTAAAGGACTTGAAGTTTTTTATTTTTCTAAGTGAGTATATGTACCAGGATTCTTGATGGGTCAGACAAAAGTGGAGGGCTGAAACTGCCACCAGAAAATTCTGCCTGATCAGTGGGGCTGCAAAGCTTGTCCTTATGAAACACAGTGGAGGAATAGGCTGGTATAATCAGAAACACTTAGAGAAATTATGTAATGGTTGAGGACAGAAAAAAGCTGTAGTCAAACTGCCATAGCAATAGCTCCCTTCTCTGAGACACTCACAATAGCAGAACTGCTCAAAGGAAGGGGAAGACTAATCAGAAGTGCTCAACCTCAGACTGCCAACATCTGAAGGCAGCTCACAGCTTCTCTGCCAGCAGCCAGCCAGTCTAAGCTGGGAAACCAGAGCTGAGGAGGAATGTGAGGGGCCCAGATGGAGGCTGCTTCTGTCTAGATGAGTGAGAAGGTTTAACTGAACTTATCAGGAGAACCAGGCTTCCCTTGAGTGTGGGCAAAGGTGGGAGAAGACACACACACACACCTAGAACACCCTTTTAGGTTCAAGAAAACAGTGGTAAATGCCAGCCATTGAAGAGGAAAGGATCTGAACACAACCACCTCAAAAGAAGACTTCTGTGAAGGGCCTGGGGCTAATGTTTCACAACCAAGACAGCTGAACTTGAGAGAAGATAAGAATAGTCAGTTTAGCAGAAGAAAACTCTAGTGGAATGTGTGTCTAAGAGAGAAAGAGAAATATATCACCTCCCAGAGTTGAAACTAGGCTTCATCAGTCAGTCTGCAGAGCTTTGTCACTGACTCACTGGATTGGGATGCGGATCAGAGCAGCACTAGCATTTGGATGGAAGATGCTTACAGATTTCTGAGCTGCACATTGGGCAGCCGACCCACTGAAGCCAGCCTGACATGCACCACAGCAATAATCCCAGAACAAGGGGAACTATTCTCGAAGTGCAGGGCATTTCCAAGATCAATTTTCTCGCCCGTTTTGCTCCTTTCTGGAAGTGGCATGCCCAGAGATTATGAAACCATAGTATTAAGCATTCCAGAAGTTCAAAACTACGGGCTGAAAGTTCTGTAAACTAAGTGTAACAAATGGTGACAGCATCACTCCAAAGGTGGGCACCAGACTTCATGCCATCCATACTCACCCTTGCGCTTCAGAGACATCAGAGAACGAAAAAATCCAGAGGCTGTGCTGTTTGCCCCAGGCAGCTTTGGGTCCTCCTCTCCCATTAGCTGGGCCAGCTCTGCCCCAGGCAAATCAATGAGCCTGGTAATGTTGCTGACAACCAGCTCTGTGAACACCTCTGGTTTTTCATGGCGCAGCTTTTCCACAAAGAAGTCGGGATTGAAGATGATCGGCTGGCTGTGGAGGGAGGAGTCATTGCAGATGACAAAATTGCAGATGGCATCACTGAAAAAGGGAAAGAGGAAAAAAAATACAGTAACTCCTCATCACTTTGGTTTTTACAGCCAGCTGGTCTGCCCTGAAGGAGACATCTGCTGACACAGGAGCTACCAGTCTACACCAACAGCACTGTCTGACTTTGGTGAGTGCTCAGCACAGCACAGTTACATTTCCCTATGGAGCAAAATAATTTCTGGACTGTTTGTACAACACAGCCTAAGACTAGCACTCCACAGAGTGATGATGACGTAGCCAACACCCAGTGAAAACTACATCTATGTCTTTACTCCTTGTTTCACTGTATCTATATCATACCAGCTCTGGCAGAGATGACATGCAATATTTTAATTAACTTATTACTTTAAGTCATAAATAAGTTTGGTATTGTCTCCCTTCCTCCCCAGAAATTCACTCCCAGTGGCCCAAAAGTCTGAAAAACAATCTAAATTTTTTCATGGCCAGCTTACATTCATCAGTTCCCATTGCCATTGTATCATACCTACCTTTCTATCAACAAATAGATCGTTCCCACGTCCCGGGACTTTTTTTTTAAGGTCACAAATGTGCAATAACACTGAGCCCTCAGTTTTGCTGTGGGTGTGGTCAATTGTTTCCAGGTGACATGCTGCCATACCTTTGGTTACTGTTCTCTGCCAGCTCCTCACTCTTGAGTCTGGAGCAAGTGAGAACTCATTGCCATGAGCCATGCAAGATGAGTCCTTGAGGGACCTCTACTACCTTTTCACCTAGATCATCCCTTTTCAGCTCATCCAGTTCTTTGCCATCTCTTCATGTCCTTTATCTGCCCTCCGTATTCTCTACTGACACCTACTTTCTTCATTTCATAGCTTCTCATGTGGCATGGGAAAAGGGATGCACCCGAGACACTGCTCTGCTAAGAGTTACCTCGAGCAGGTACATAACCCTACCAGAGGATAGGAACATTTACCATGTAGAAAATCAAATCAAAGAGTTACCAAAGAGATATCTCATGTTAATCAGCACTCTTAATGCTCATACTTAACTTTTATCCCAATTTCCATCTACCTCTAGGTCTTCCATTACCGCCCTCCCACCACTGTTCCAAACATTTTCATGTTTCTTAAGTCAAGCCTACAGGCTAGAGCTGCCCAGCTTGCTTCTCCCTCCACTGTTTTACTTAAAGGTGAGGATTAGTGTCATTATTCTCCAGTCATGAGCTACTGTTCTGATTTCATACTCAGCTATAAAGTGACAGCCTGATTGTGCCAGTTCTTCCAGGGCTCTGGGAGGGGGATGCCTACCCACTCAGCTGGCACATATTGTGTGTGTTCAGACTGTGACATTCCCCAATCCTTTAATCATTCTTTAGCTCTTATATCTACTCTTTCTACATCCACCCTCAGCTGAGCTCTCACTGGACACCATTTTCCAAGGGCAGCTACCAAGTGCACAGTTAATAGGGATGCTGTGCTTATGGACCAGGGATCACATCAGTCCCTTAGATGCAGATGCGGGGCAGCAAGTGCTCTGCTGAACACCCCTAAGTCCATAAAGGCTTTCCCTTCAAAACAGGCTTTTCTAGAGAAGACTGGAGCACCTTGATCTTCCTCTCCTCCCTGCTGAAGGGTGGAGGCCATGCCATTGTGTTCAGACCATGCTGGGCATCCCTGCTCACTGCTCAACACAGCTGCCACCAGAAGCATCTGCAGCCACTGAACCTCACATCCACTGGCTCAAGAAACAGAACACTTCAGTGCTAGTTCAGAGACCTCAGCAGCTTCCTGTTCTGGTGTAAACTGACAGTAGCTCACGACAGGAGAACATCAAAGCACATACTGGCAAGTCACCGAAACTCCAGCCCACCTCCACACATTATCTGTGAACCCAACAGTTATCTGAGCTACTGTACGTTTTTGACCTGAAAGACTACCTCCAGGACTTCCAGGATGCCTGATCAGAATAACAGAACAGAAGCTGGGACTCAGGCTCCACAAGAAGAAAGATACTTGCTGAAACAAGAGGAAATGAGGCTCTCAGCAACTCTTGCATCGTGAGAATCCATACCAAACCCCCTCCTCTTTACACTGCTCTCCATGGATGCCAAAGACGCCCTTCAAGAGGATGGAGAGGAAGAAGGTCTGCAAGGCAGACTGCAAGGCAATCTGCCAGGTCATCTAAAATTTTAGAAAGATCTTAAAGGCTCCCAGCTGCCTGGCTCGGTGGCCTAGCAAGCACACTGCTGACTCCAAATGGGGGCCATATTTTGTTGAGCACCTCCCAGCCAGTTTTTCAGCAGTTTGTTATCTGCAATAAATCAAGACCAAAATGCAACAATTCGGTATCAGCTGCCAAAAAGCAACTGCCAGTTGATCTGATCATATTCGCATTTCATTGCATAGGGCTACAATGCACAAACAAGTGCCAGCTCTGCCCATAATGTGGAGCAAGCCCTTTGCTTGAAACCCATGACAACTCATTCTGTGGCAATGCAGATCCTGAGAAGGGTTAATAGCAAGTGTATAGGCCCAGTGACCCTGCCTGCAATGATCCGTGCACTGTTATTCACTCACTAGCAGTTTTGTTTCCCCACAGAGAAGATATGCAAATACTTTGAAGCAGTTACATCAAGCATCACAGATTATCTCTTCCCTCTGACAATTAGCTATCTGGATTCACAGAAAGAAAATTAAACAATTTTGTCAACTAGCACTGACTGATATGACTTCTCTGCACAGCCTGTGTTAGAAGTCGCACAAAGTCCAACAACATTTAATGCAAAAATAAATAGAAAAAAGTAAATTTCTTACATGAGTGCTGAGAGCTTTTGAAGAGGCATTAGGAAGCAGAGACAGGGAAAAGAACTTGCTCCTTGTTTCCAGCAACAAAAGAAACCTGCCTGTCCCAGCACAGCCTATGCAAATTCCACGCATGCTACGAGACACAAGGGCGCATTATTGGGTCTGAAAGGCCCCCTTGGCACACACTGGGCATCAGCCTTCACACAGGGACAAAACAGAAAAGAAAAGCTGGACAAATTGATTCATGTCTCTTGCCAAAGGCTGCGTAGCTGGAGTTTAACTGCAAATAATTCCTACATAGAAACCAGGGTTTTGAATCAGGACCAGTGTGGTATTAAGTGCTTTCCACCTGTATCCAAGAGGAATCCACAAAATAGTTCCAAGTCTACCGTGTTTACCATGAGTAAAGCCATGCAAACACATTCCCAACAGCATCCAAGCACAACTGATGTTACAGCACTGGCAGGACAATAGCCAAGTCCCTTAACTGCACAACCCTGTGCCCAGAAACCTTGCTAGAGACACTCTCTGCGCCTGCCTTTCACACTTTCAGATCCTTTCAAAGACAAAGCACTTAGATCAGCCCCTCAGAGCTGGAAAAAACACCTGGCCATTGCTCCTTGCTACCATTACTGTGCCACCTTGTGCCGTTCATCCACTTCAGGATTCCTGTTCCACGTTTCTCTGGATTCCCATCCAGTTTCTCTGTCTGCTGCAGCTGGGACCAGCCTTGTATACACTTATTGTGATATGGCACTTCAATGAGCTACTTAATTTTGAAAGGTCACTTTATTAGCAGCTCTTCCTTACACAGAAAATTTGCTTTTGTATCATTATTGCTAATCAAAATGGAAATGTGAAGCAAGCCCCTATTTCTGAGCAAAGATAAAGCCCCCACTGGCTTTACACACAATAACCCTGCCAATCCTCACTGCTGCACACACCATAACCTTCAGAAAGAGCCATGTGCCCCATCTGCTGTTTTCATGTTAAAAAAGAGAGATGGATGTACTCTACCTACACTCACAGTTTATATAACAGCAGCAAAGGGGAGACAAACATGTATTCATGCAGTTCATAGCTTTTTTTTTTTTCCTTGCTTGCAATTACAGAGTTATATTTTCTATACGCTGTGATCTCAGATTGCTTTACGACACGTCAAAAGACAATAAAGTAAAAGAATAAATAGCTTCCTCTCCAGTCTCATGAATATAATCAAATCCCAATGAATAATAAAACCTTGTTCTAATAGGGTTGTGATTAAGACAGCAGATAAAAAAAAATGGGTCCTATATTGTGCTGAGATCCTTGCCATTCTAGTATCCTTCAGAGGCAAAGCCGGTGATCCCAGCCAAGTCACAAAGAAAGCTGTCTGTCACACACAACGTTTTTGCTTCAGGCATGACAGCCCCATCATTTCATGGGGAGTGGATGGTGCAGGAGGTCAAAATCATGATGGATCAATTAATCCCTAAGGTAACTAGATCCAGGCCAGGGAAATGCCTTGGAAACTAGGACAAAAATGAGACTTTAACAGCCAAAACCTGGTGATCAAACCTGTGGTGCAATCAGGCAGATTACTTCACATGGCAGCAAGCTTGCATTCAGATAGGTGAGATGGAGCTGGTGTAGTGGCTTTCTCAGGTTTGATTGTTCTGAGTCCACACATGTGACAGAAGAAGGGTTCAAGAAACATGAAACAGAGCATAAGGAAAGAGAAGGCAAGAAAGAAAGAGAAAGAAGAGGTATGTTTGGGGCAAGGCATCAGCTGTGTTTGTCTAGCTGGGAGTGTGGATACACTGAAAGCTAAAGATTTCAGAGGAGCCTTATGTGTCTAATTCAGTGGGCAAAATCCACCTTCAGTGCCATTTTGCACACTTGGTATGTCATCACCAAGGCCCTATGCTTCAGACATGCCACAGCAGACAAGTTGTACCATATAGGAGTAAAAGGATTAAAGAGCTTTTGAAAATAAGGCAGATAATAGGAGAAAATCTCCCTCTATAATAACAAAATCTTAAGATTATAGGAAAGAGCCAGGCTGGTACCAAATACTAAGAGCAGGGTGATAAGCAGGCAGTGCTGAAGAGCACAAAACATGAACAATTCTCCGCCTGGCTAAGCACAAAGGGACATGGGACAGATGCACACAGGCTCGGATTTCCCTAGGGAGGAAGAAGTAGCATTGTCTCCTGTGTTGTGCCAGAGTAAGGAATCAATTAATGA